TTATAAGATGAATGCTTGCTTCTAAAGGGCATGCATGTATTTGTCATTAGGAAAGCATATAGTCAGGTGTCCTTGTCTTAAATTGGAGACATCAGGGAAGGCCTCGTGAGGAAATAATTCTCCTGCCAAGAAAACTCCATTAATGAGTCATGTTTGGCTAAGGAAAGGTGGGGATGAAGTGGGAGTGAGAAAGAGCATTTCAAATAAAGAAAGCTCCAAGCATAAAAGCCCAGAGACAAAGGAGAGCTTTAGTTGAAATGACTTTTGTTTCCTTGAAGTCTACTGGCTCATAGAAAATTAATATACTGTTGTGTGACAAGATATTATTGGTTAGGTGGAAAAATGAAACTATTTGGGATTCAATCAAAATAGAGGAGGTTACACTCTAAGTCTGAATGATCAGGTTTTCCTTTTTATTATTCACCCTGGAATTTGTTTGAAATATCCATTACATTTAGTACCTTATCTGTCCATGGCCACTCCAGTTAGAGCTTGCACCTATCAATTGGTGGGCATAGTGTCACTATAGGAGACACTGCCTCTTGTCAAAAATACTGAATCCTTCAGCAATTCAAAGAAAACTACACCCACATTTTACATTCTATTTCATTGCTTGAAAATTACTCTAACAGAGACATATATATATGGCTGGTGACATTTTCAGAGGAGGTACCAACGTATTTAACCCACATAAAATTAACTGGAGGAAAAAGATAAATCAAAAGAAAAACCACATTCCACTTTTATTAAGGTAAAAGAAATAAGAGGTTAAATTATTATGTTTTAACCATTCAGTGAGAAATTCTGTTTGATGATCCTAATTTAATTCATGTGCACAACAGATTGCTGTAATTGACTTGTATGCTTTTAATGAAGTTGAAATTCTTGGACACTTTTAATAATAAATCCCAAATGAATAGGTCTTTTGTTGGTGGGTCATTCTCTCTTTATCGTTACCTTTGATTTAGGAAATTTGGAAAATAGCTTCTCCAAAAGATTCTCCTTTGGTTTGATTTGAATTTTCAAGTACATTCCACTTGTTTTTAATCCAATTAGTTCAAGCCTGCTTGCTTTCACAATCCAGAGAAACTCCATGAAGTTTCTGTATCCCAGCATGTTAGTATTGGATCTCAGTCCATTCCAAAGGAAAGAAAAGGTCATTGGAAATTATTTTTGCCTTTGACTGTTCCCAGTCATCTGGGTTGTTTTATGTCCTTTACATCTCACATTGTTTAGATGTCTGTCAAACTATGGACAGGATTTAATAAAATAAACACAATCAAGTAATTTGACCAGATGTTTTATAAATAACATAACACCATTTCTTTGTAAAGAAATGAAATATATTTTGAGTACTTTCTCAAAATAATATACCTTGCTTATGAATTTCCATATGCAGCTTGTTTATGAAAACCATGAGTTGGAAGCAAAATGTAATCTTTCCTGGTGAATCTGAACAATCTGAACTATTTTATGCCCAGTAATAGAAGGGGTTTGGAGCCTGTTAAAAAAAAAAACATTGTCACAGTATTCCATTTAGATGTGTCTTTGTTTGGTTGACAATGTATTTATATGTAATTTTGTCACAAGAAAAGTCATTAATTTTTTATTCTAATAGATAAATAAATTGGAGAGTAAAGTAAACATATATTGTGCTGAGGTAAGCACCATCTGATTTTCTATCCATTAACCCAACAAAGAATAAAGTGTGTCTTTCGATGTCAAAATCAAATCTTTTAGTTAAAAAAAAAGTGCTCTGTGAACTAGAAGGCATCTGGCATTCATGGGTTACAGGATTGTATGCTTCATTTGTGTGGCTACCTTAAAAATTATCACATCTTTTGACACCTATATCTGCTGCCTATTCTATCATTTTTTATTCATTGGGAATATAGTGTTTATGTTCTTATTTTACCCAAGTCTCATCAAGGATCTTCAAAAACTATTGTTGACTTAAATCAAGCATTATCAATCATATTAATTACTCTGTAAGTGCCAAAGGTATGAGGGCAAATGGTATGTTTGTGTGTATGTATTTCTGTGTTTTCACGTGCTCTTTTTCAAACTCAAAGAGAATATATAAAGCTTTCAATTTTCCACTTCTTCTTTAGGACTTTTTTCTTTACTTCCCTTATAATAATAGCTATGATTACTTATTTTTTGGCATGAGGCAGTTATTGAACAAATAATGAACTGATTGACTATATGGATGTTCAAATCAGTGATGATCATTCAAGAAATAAAATGTATTGAAGTATGTGAAGTTCCCTTTGAAAAGTACAAAGGAATGCTTAGCTACATGTAGCCTGTTTTTTGGGCACAAGTATTTGCTTTCTTTCTCTATGAATGTTGTTAGGCTATGGGGATGAGATAATAGTGTCTTAAAACCTATCAGAATTCAAAACAAGATTTCCTTCACTACTTCAATCTATAGTATTTCATAGGTTATATGGTAGGTATTGTGAGTGCACTGAGAATACATCAATGAACACTACACACAATGCCTGACCACGTGGAACTTTGGAGTTCAGAAGGAAAATATTGAATATGCAATTATAAGATGAATGCTTGCTTCTAAAGGGCATGCATGTATTTGTCATTAGGAAAGCATATAGTCAGGTGTCCTTGTCTTAAATTGGAGACATCAGGGAAGGCCTCGTGAGGAAATAATTCTCCTGCCAAGAAAACTCCATTAATGAGTCATGTTTGGCTAAGGAAAGGTGGGGATGAAGTGGGAGTGAGAAAGAGCATTTCAAATAAAGAAAGCTCCAAGCATAAAAGCCCAGAGACAAAGGAGAGCTTTAGAAGAATTGAAAAAAGTCTCATGAGGATAGAAAGGGGAGAGCAAGGCAGTGACACTCATGAGGTGGGACAGGGGAGGGAGAAAGGGACCAGATCATGGAAGTCCTCAGACCCCTCACCAGGGCTTTGAGATTTTACCCTAAAGGCTCTGTGAAGGGTTGTGATAGACAAGTGACCTGATAGATATTGGCTGACTTGTGGAGCATGAGTGGGACTGAACAATCAGACAGTGCAGAGAGGTCTGTTAATATGCTATAGTAGCAGTTGGGCAAAAGGTGATTTGCAGTCTAGATTTGGGTGGTATCTGAGGGAGTAATGAATTATTCCTGATAGCAACACTGTACATGAAAACAGCAGCCGCCCGATTACAAAGTCATCAAGAGAGTTGTAACAGTGTGAATTGATGAGTGCTGACAAGTCTGTAGAGCAGAGTGTATGTATGTGTTTTTGGAAAATATTTCATGTTTGATTATTATAATTATACATATAAACATGTTTATTACCTAAATCACATATAAGCCCCAAACACGTATTCATCAATAGTCACACTGACTTAAGATAACCAATAATAAGCCTTATTATATTTTCCCAAATACATATGCATGGAAGCACACAAGAGAGAACACAAGTTGTGCAAACTTTTTAAAAATGAAGATAGGCTTGAAATTTATGCTATTTGTATCCCTATTTTCTTAAAAAACTTATTAATATACCAAAAATATATTCTCATAGAATAAAGTATTATTTTATTTTATATCATTTTAGTGATTGTATAAACAGATACATACGTGCCAATGTTCTTATTAAACTTTATCTTTGGTTCCGCTTTGATATTTACATTTTAAATTGAACACTAACGTATGAAATATTTGTCATATAGACATTCAAAGGAAAAAATTGCTAAGGTCTAAATAATAGTTCTTTTCTGTTTCTCTAAAAAGTGTGTGACCAGTATCATGGTGGGTGTTTTGTGGTAAGTATAGTGTATAAAAAGACTAGCATAAGAAAGCATTTATAAATTATTCTAAATCTGAGAAAAAATTTTATTTATTATCTTCCCTAATAAAATTATTGTCTTGTGTGAAACCCACTACCATTCAATATTCCTTTCACCTATGAGTCCTCATCTGAGCTTTTGCCACAAAGTCTTAGCTCAAAATTCCATGTTAGTTAATTTTCATGGAAGATAAAAACTTTCTGCAGTATACATTATTGAGCATTGTGATGGCAGCCTAGGTTCTTCCTAAGTGCTTTATAGGCTAAGACAACAGTCACCTATCTGCAAGCATTATTCAAGGTCAACTTAAACTGTATTTCTATCATAATTTTTTGTTCAAAGAAGTGAGGCTCACATTTAGTTCAGGTATGTGAGCAGGGACCATTGCTTGTGGCCTGTTTTTGTTCCTTAAACTCTCATGCCTTTTTTAGAATAAACAGCAGATATTTGACTAGATATAAGCATATATATTTTTTGAAATGTTACACTTCAACATGTTAAGCTTTAAGTGAAACTGAAGGACACTCAAATAAAGTCACTTTTGTCAAAGCCTTTTCCTATAATAACATATTTGAATGATGCAAGATGCATTCTCTTGTGATGTCCAAGCAATTGATAAACCAATTTGTGTGGAATATAGGAAAGCTATTCAAACTTTGTGGTTCCTTAAATGAGATGAATAAGAATTTCTATTTTCCGAATAGGACATAAAGTATTCTAGGCCTATTTTAGATGGTTCAGTGTGCCAGAGATGGTATTAAGTTTGGTGTTCATAAATTACTAATCTGGAATAAGAGATTGAATGTATTTTGAAAACTTAAACCTGTTTCACCTGAACATGTTTAACTAGTTAATAAGAAACATCAAAAAGACAAAACCCTGAGATCAATGGTCATTTTTTTGTAAAGCTATTATATGCTGTTTAAATTGGTTGTTCGGGTCTGTCTATAACATAAGTTTAATAACCTAGCTCAAATGCAGATTTCTAATTTTCAATTAACATAGGAATAATTTTGTTTGCTAAAATAAAATAAATGAATGAATGACAAGTCTGAAACATGAAATGTTCTAGGTAGAACTTTTTAAAATTCCAAATTTCAAAAAATCATGTGGCAATTGTATAGCTCAAGCTTTAAGTATTAACTTTTAACCTTTGACCTTACAGATTTTAACCAATGAAATGTCTCTTTAAACTTTAAAGGAAACAATGATAACGAGCGCCTGGCGATTGCTAGACAGCGAATTCCATATCGACTTGGTCGAGTAGTTGATGAATGGCTACTCGACAAAGGTAAAAAACATTGATTAAAACTTCAAATAAAAAAATAATTTGAACATAACCAAGTAGTACTTCATTGTAACACTAATAAACATAAAAATAAATTTTCCGTAAAACTAAATTAAAAACAAATTTAAAACAGTAAAATGTAGACAGTAATATTTGCATACCTTGTATAATAATTTCTATACATTTCTAGACGTACCAGCTGTTTAATAATCTTACCCTGTTAACTTAAGGTTAAAGGGACTGTTAAATATAACCCACTAACTCAATCTATGAAGGTACTCACAGCAAGCATTTAACCCAAAATGATAAATCGTTCATAGATTATTTACATGTTCCAGCCTCTAAATTATCAACTAAAATATATGTAGTTCTGATATCTTTATTATGGTCCTGAAAAAAAAAAAAAACAACTCTTGGTTTAAACTTTAGGCATCTTAAATAGTGGGCAATATGGATTGCCAGTCAAAATGAAGTCCCTTTAACGTTTGCAACGTTCTAAGAGCATTTGGGAACAAGCCCTAATTAAAACTGAACTTAAAGTTGTGTGCATGCTTTTTATGAGCAGAGACCAATCTGCTAAAACTGGATACTAAATTTGATGACATTGGTACTGTTTCTGAGGATTGCTGTTTGATGGAAATGTGCCATAATTTCTCCATCGGTTTGTGTACCATTCCTGAAGCCGCTTTTTACATCTGAAGCTATTTTTTTTTTCATTTTGTTTCGTTTACTAGACTTGCTGAAAGACAATCAGAAAAATACTTCTGGAATTTTTTTTTTGTCTCTGACATGCTCAGTGTAAACCATGTATTTCTTTTCAGTGTGATTGCCGGAAAAATAAAACAATTCAAATAACAATAGACTATTGCCTTCAAAAAACAAATGTTTCTAAAGAATAACATATAGATATATGTGGCCATTATGTGAATTATGAAATTCTGATCATAAATTTAAAATTAGATCTCAACTGCTATAGATTACTTTCTGCTAGTGGTAATTTTAGAATGACAAATACTTGAAATGTTAGAAATCTTACTTTTTTTTAATGTAATAATTTAGACTTAAGAGACCAACAGTGTAAGAACTTGAGGTAAAAGGGATCCACAGAAAATTGATTTATAATACGTATCTTTGATTGGTCTTTTAGCAAAAGCACTACATTTACAATAAGTTGAGAATTTAAAAGTATTTGCCAATGATTATGCATTTCATGGACACCTCATTTATAAGCAATGAATTATGAGTCAAATGCCTCTCTTATAGTTTATTGCTCTCATTATCCACCCCATGAAAGATCTGTTTATCATCCTTTGTAGAATGTAGAGTTCACAATCAACATTTTTGCATGTATGTAATATTATTTTTACAGGGCGTCAGCTCACAATCTTCAATAGCCAAGCAACCATAATAATTGGCGGGAAAGAGCAGGGCCAGCCCTTCCAGGGCCAGCTCTCTGGGCTTTACTACAATGGCTTGAAAGTTCTGAATATGGCGGCTGAAAATGATGCCAACATCGCCATAGTGGGAAATGTGAGACTGGTTGGTGAAGTGCCTTCCTCTATGACAACCGAATCGACAGCCACTGCCATGCAGTCAGAGATGTCCACATCCATCATGGAGACCACCACAACCCTGGCTACTAGCACAGCCAGAAGAGGAAAGCCCCCTACGAAAGAACCCATCAGCCAGGTAAGTCTGCAGATGCCATTTCTTCATGGACCTGTGATTATGTATGTGGGCTTTTTTTGCATATATCTTTTCTAAAATAGGATTGTTTCTGATCTCAAGCACTATGGCTTCCTCTGAGACTTGCTTAATGTATTCAGTCTGAATATGACTTGGGTATATGCTGTTGACTTGGGATTTGTGGACTTTTATAAACTGCTTTGTGTTGGTTTGTTGGTGGATAGCTGATAGTCTTGTTTTAATAACCTTGGTCTAGCCCAAGCTGATGGGATTGTCTAATTATATAGGGTTTTCACTTTTTAAGTAAATTAATAAAATATTTGAAAAGCCTTGGTTGTTCATCAGCACTTTATCAAAATAAAAGAAAAGCAAATTTGAAAGTCTTAAAAGAGAAATTGTCTAGGAAACATCTATTTGTATTTTCAAGCTTTAAAATTTTGTATTGGAGGCATGTGAACCTCATGGTGAAGGATAGGTCTACTTTTTAACTGCCTTTGGGGAGGAAACTTTTCCTCTGTGCTTCAGGGATCTTTTGGCTGGTCTAAGAATTAGATTGTTATGAGACAGATTAACAAGAGAAAATAAAACAAGCTGCCTTATACACACACAGAATCCCAACAGTAAAATTGAGACCCAAAGAAATGACCGAGGCAGGCAGATTGTAAACACTTGTTTCTTTGACAAGGGAGCATCTATCTGTGAGGAATCAACAGGACTAAGAAAACTTATGTTTGCGATCTTCAATTAGTAAGCAATTCTAAGTAGAATTTGGGCTGTGATAGTGAATTAGTAAAAGTATTAAGGCTCATTTGTATAGCCTTCTCTGCTCTAAATTCCCTATATTTGTGATAAGAATATTTCTTTACATCCTGGTACAGGGAGGGTACCTTCCACATGGCAGATTTATTTCCAACTTTCTAGGGAAAAAACAGGTCAGAGTGTTCTTCTGGTACTGGCTGTTTCAATATGCCAAAGTGCCACATTTTGAGGGGCCTGCCCTTGGCCCCATCACTATGACAAAATCACACTGTTAGTTTATCTGAGTGAAGATGAAGACCCAAAATGTGGTACTTAAATAGCTGTCTTTGGATAATCTGTTTTGTGTGATAAGTGGCAAACTGCCCTCCCTTAGAATTCACTTTAATGACTTTATTTTTCAATTTTATGTCTAATATTTTTTAAAAATATAATTTTAAAATGTCAGACTTGTACAACTTAGAAATATATTAATTGAATCAAGATATACTTACTGACTGTCTTACTATGCTTCAGCCACTGATCTAAGTACTGGTGTTATATTAGTGAAGAGCAGGAAAGAGCCTGCCACAAAGAGCTTACATTTTATGAAAAGCTATCATATTGTTGTTGAAATGCTACTATATTCCTATTGGCATTTATAGCCTTTGAACATATTCTGTTGGTAATTCTTGCAGAATTGTATGTCTCCTTAGTCCAAAATGATTGTTACCTTTTGTTTTATTTTTAATAGTTAGTGTCCCCAGTAGATGCCATCTAAAGCTTTTCCAAATACATGATACATACTTTTCTAGAAAACCATTCTGAAAAAGCAAGAATGACAATTACTTTTTAAGTTGCTTTTATTTCTAGTGTTTGAGATCGACCTAAGTGTCAGCTTTGCAAAGAGAATAAAAGAAGGTAAATTCTGTTCATAACGGCACTCGACCTATGAATTAACATATATTTTCCAAAGAAAGAACAAAATAAATTCTGATTTTTGCTTTGAATAGGAATGAGTGGGAGGAACAGAATAGAGGAAGAGAAAATATCCTAGGAGAAGAGAGATGACCAATAAAGTTATAAATTATGTAAATTAATAAATGCAATATTCATATTATGCACCATTTCTTTCTTCTTGTTCCCTTTTTTCTTAAATTTGCATTTGGCCACAAAGTAAAATCGGCTGTCTCACAAGGTATTCATCAGTATATATTTATTATCACTCTACATGTGCCATATGCTGTTCAAGGCACTGGGAATACATTAGCAACAACAACAAAAACCCCTGCCCTCTGGAATATACACCTTAGTAAGACTGTGTGCTTAAGAGTATAACCATTTTGTTGATCTTCTCTATCTTGTTTGGGTTTATAAGATTGCTAACAACATTTAGTCCCATGAATGAAGACTTGTGACTTTAGACAGATTTACGCATATCCAATAGCTCTATTTGATACTCTTTTCTAATACTGCATTAATGATTTCTTATTGTAGTTGACGGTTTATGACTTATTTAACAATAAGTTGTTAAGGTGAATCTGACATAGGAAAACTGAAGCACAATACAATTAATAGGCTATGTCCCTTATATAAAATAAGTCATTACAGGATATTCTAGGACAGAGTTGAAATTGCTCCTGTGACTAAAATTTGAAAGAATCTGAGAGTTGTCTTAATAATCTTATTTCATTATTAATAAAATTACAGTTGCCTAAGTTCCTAGGTAAACCAGGTGTATCCCCAGATAAGGAAAATATCATCAGCCTTACTTTTATCCATTAATAGCTGCTATATATTAAGAAGTTATATTTTTAAGAAACATTCATATAAAAGCTATTTCATTTTCAAGCTAAGTGCCTAGAAATGAAGAAGTTAAAAACATCCACTTTATAATACTGACTAATGTGAAAGGAAAACAGTTAACTGATAGCCTATTAATTTCCAATGAAAAGAGTCTCTTTTATTATAAGCTATTACATGTTTAAAGACATCAGTGGTTTATAGAAGTAAATGATCTAATCAGTTAGTGATTATTTGGTTCATTTGAGGAGGTATTGACTTAAAAGATTACCAGGTTTATTTAAAAATAGAAATTTTATATCTTTAGACTTTGAACAGACCTATAACAATAATTTAATAATTTGATTAATACACTATGACAATTCAATTGTGGCAACAGTGTTTTAAAGTTGAACTAATAGTTTTTTAAATTATCTTTTATGATGATATGTATGTGATTACAAGTACTAAAGTGTGTATGCACAGGGAAAAAACTAGGGAAGAAAGCAAATTATTTCTGAGTAAAAATAATTTGTTGCAAATTTTATTTATTTCACAATTTATTTCTAAATTGCCCTCCAACTCCAAAGGGATTACTGATACATGTAGAATTTAAGTGTTTGTTTAAATTGTCAAAGTCTTGGAAGTTTAAACAAGAGAGTGATTTGTAATGCTAATTCCAGGACTATTTCCTTTGAACTGTTTTTGCAGGTTGGATAAAGCATCTTCCTTTAAACCCTGTCCCATAGTGGCCACATCTGCCTGTTTTTATCAACTGCATTACTAACTTGTATACCAGGAAGGGTCATTTTATTTTTCAAAAGCTATACTGGACTGTTTTCTCAATCAAAGTTATTTTCCTCAGTGATAACACTGAGCCACTTAAGCCTCAATGGCAATGTACCTTGGGGTGATTGCATGTTTTAGAACTAGGGAAACAGATTTTTGGTCAAGCGGAATTAAATTGGATTGATTTCAAATAGATGAGGTTTGTTCAGATACCCTGCAGGGCAAGTAATAGGGGACAAATGTATTTTTGGTTTTCACAGTGTCAGAGAAAATAAAAGAGTATTTATAAAATTGTTGTTCTATAAGATCCTATTTACTTTCCTACTTAAAAGTAAGTATGCTTTAAAAAGAAGAGAGAGTTTTTCTTCTCCGAGTTATGATCGATTTTTCAGAGCTGTTTACTTTAGAAAAACATGATTTATATGGTGAAACAATGAGGACATTTACCAGCCCTTCTGATTAAATGGCTCTTTAAATGTGAACATAACAATAGTAATAGCACTTTTTCTTTGGATTCCATAAAATTTGTTTTACCTGGAATAGTTAGTGTCCACGTGTTTTCATGAGACCTCCTGCTTATCTTAAAAAAGAGAAACTCTCTGTACAGCTAATCTCAGAAAGTGAGTATTTGCAAATAGATCATAAACAGTTCTCAGGATGCTGAGAGCTTCTTGGGGCTGGGGGCCAAAGTGTCATGGAACAGTTTTTGCTTCCAAGTGTTCCCTCCTCTTTTGAATAATCCGGCAATGTCTCATGATGTAGATGTAGCTTGACATAAATGAGTAAAAGTAAACCCACATTCAAAGGGCATCATTCACTCTCTTTGGCTGCCTGTCTGTAAAAAAAGGAAGGTGAAGCTATGCTGTTTCTTTTAAGATCACGATTGTGACATTTCTTCTGGTCTATTCTTTGCATCATCACATTTTGTGATCTTTTGGTTCTTTCAGGAATGTTTTCAAGCTATATACATACTGTACAGAATTTGGATCCATAGTAATACCATTTACTTAGAGGGAGGACAGGATAATGGAAAGAGCACAGTAAATCAGGAGACCTAGTTTCCACTTTGAACACAACCACCTACCTTGTTATGTAACTTGGCTGGGTGAGTTAACCTCCCTGTACTTTGGCCTTGCTTCCTCTAAAATAAGTGAGTTCAACTAGGAATCTCTTGAACTGTACTCAGCTCTAAAATGTCATTGATTCTTGTGATGTTGCTCTTAGCTAGGTCTCTGATGATTGTTTAACAAAGCATGGATTTCATCCTTGAATTTTTCACAAGGGTGGCCATCCATCTGTTGGCTTATACAGTCCTCGTGTGCACCTGGTGTGCCGATGTAATAATTAATAGTGTCCTTTTTGACTCTGAAAGCATCCCATTCTGGTCGATAAATTATATGGCACTTTACTTTTACAGCATATATAAAATATATCTTTGCAGGAAAATCATACTTCATGAGAGTAATGAGAGGTGAAGCCCTGTCCTTTACATTTAGAGCAGAAACTGACTCTGGTATCCTTACCTGGTTTCAAGGATCCATAGCCTTTTTCATCTTTCTTTCATCTTATTCCAAAAATATTAAGAAATGAGAGAGAATAAGGTTTTGAGAGATTCTGAATATTGACTGGAGGGACAAGAGTTTGCAACTCTTAGTAGGAAATTAAATTATATAGTGTGGCAGAATCAGTAAATGTGA